CAACATATTTACAGAATGGAAAAAAAGTGCTTTGTCAGAAACAGTTAATTGATTTGCACTTGCTACTAAACAGGAACAAAATCTCTATTTATCTTATTTTATCATCCTGCTTTTGTATTTGTTCAAAGTTTTCATTTAAAACAATTTTCTCAACAAAACGCAACATATTTCAGTGTATTTTTTTTAGCTGTTGAATGTTCTTAGGGAACTATAATACCTTTCTACAGAGGTATCTGTCCTCAATAACATATTGACAAAATGATGGTGTGTTTGATATACGAAACTGTTTATATAATTTGATAACACATTGAAAACTGTCTCTACTTTCATTTCAGACTAATAGATTGGTTTTCTGACGTCAAACCAATGTGTAAAAATAGACGGTAAAGTGATTATGAATTAATTATCAGGTTCTCATTGAATTATGCTATAAATATAAGCTGATTTTGACATGAAATGAAGCCTCATATCGTCTCAAATACAGACCAAAACTGATATTTCAGATAATCTCTATGCATTTACTCAAAGCATTGTACTTTCTGCATTGGTATACCATGATAAGCACACAGCATAAATAATTCAGCATGGCTATTGTACATAATAGGGGTAAAAGTTTCAAAATATGGTTCCTACAATGATGTACATGATAAGGTCTATAAAATAATATTTTCTTCTCAATCTTTATTACTGTAAATTCAGAAATTGTTGCGTGCATTTATTATTTCGATTTTGTCATTTTAGACTAAAATGCGATTTTAATTTTTGCAACATTGAGAAAAATCCTGTTTAATTCATATAGAAAAAGTTTAAAATGCGAGTTTAAATTATTGCAATTATAACCCTGTTGCATTTTTCGCAATAATAAAAACATCACAATAATTTCAGTATTTACAGTATAGAGCACAATGTAATGCTATTAAAACAATCATTTTCGCTTGGGGACATAGATCAGAACCTAAAAAACTATCTTTCATACAACCATTCATTAGGGTTTTTTTTATCCAGAAAAATTATTCCTTAACTTGTAAATCGTTGTTATTTTTCAAATATGATCACCTGTGTTTTATCTTAACATGAGATCAGGTAAATAATTTTTATATTTCTGGCAAACATGATTTTGAAAGTTTGAACATTTTATGCCCAGAGGTCATTACTTGCAAGTTAGAAATACAAAGATGAATACACAGATACACTGATAGACTTAACCACCTCAACTTTAAACAGAAGTGGAAGATACAACATTTTTTTCACAATCCTTTTTTGTCATACATGTATTGAATACATAGGATAAATATAAAACTTTTTCAGTACTTTTTGCTAACAGTTTGTTTGCTATAGTGTCATTATGTGATGTTATCTTTTCATCCACATATATATATGCATTGTGACTGATAAACAGTTTTGCATTATATATATATTTATTTGCAATAACAAATTGGTCTAACATAGTTCAGATAGGAAGAATAAGCTAATTTTTCCTGGTTTTAACTTCTTTTCCTTATTTCAAAATATTCAATTATATTCTATAATAAAAGGGTTAATGGATATAAACAACTAGATTCCTTATCTTCTTTTTCACAAACAGTATTTATTATTTAACTTCAGCTTCATACCTAAATGAATATAAGCTTTACATAATTGTTTGATCCAGTATTTTTAATAACATATTTTTCACAAGATCTGATTTCCATTCAAACAACCAATACTGTAGTACATATAATACTTACTATTTAGAAAATAAACCTGTTTTCAATTCCAATTTTTCAAAAAACAAAGACTGTCTTTAAAACTTTGGTTTCTGTCTTATATGTAGATATTTACGTAGATATATATATGGCAGCAAAAACTGATCAATATTAGATGGTATTGTTAAGCATTGGAGTTACCATGGTAACAAAACTTATTTTTCCTTGTGACATAGAAGTAATCTCCTCAACACAATTAATGAAAATAATATTTTTTTTTGAAGCCAAGTTTTATTGATTGGAGGTAAAACATTTCCACTTTGATGCTAAGGATATTCAAAACTTATCTGTCAGTAATCTTCTGTCAGTTGGTCTCAAGATACGTATTGATATAAAAATAATAATTACACATGATCACTTTTACTTGTTATATATGTATTTGCCATATTCAGGACCAAGAATTTCTGTTTGAGGTGGCAAAAATTAACAATATTTGTAGCTAGAGAACTAAAGGCACATCTGAATAGTTAATCTCATGCTTGCTAATCCAACTGAGGAATCTTAAATAAGCCTCTTTACTTCCATTCCATTTATCTAGTTTTTTTGGAGTTTTCTCTCCCAACAAATACTGACCAATAAATATTACAGTTGTTCCTAATATAAATCTAAAGATTAATTTAATTTTACAGTATTTTGGACCTAAAGTTTCATTCAAATTGCTAACATTGTACTTATTTTTAGATCTATTTAACAAATTTTAAATTGATTGTATCTTGAAGCACATACATGTATGCTAGATATATGATTTTTTCGATATTCAGATGCAATTGAATGAGTTCTAAATACATACATAATTTCATAAAAATTATAAATACTGCACACAAACACATACTCTTCCCCATAAGCATATCAAGAACCTTTTTTAGTTTCACATTATTTGTCTCCCGCTACAAGGCATACAGTAAAAGTCTTTGTCCGTTTGTATGCCCATCAGTCTGTGTGTCCTTCTGTCATTCAGAAACACAAAAAAACATAGATCTTTTAACATAAAGCACTTGGTCAAATTATTGATCATCAAATTCTCTTAACCATACTAAATACCACTAATTTGATTTTACAATCTTCAAGATACCACAGTACAGAGTTCAGAGGGAAATTTTGCTACTGCATATCAATTTTTATGCATTTGTTGTCTAAATTTAATAAAAAATTGATGTTAAAAAAATATAATTAAGAGATTATCATCAATTTGCATCTCAGTTGTGATAACATCCCTACTGATTTCATATCAGACTAGTGTATTATATCTGATATGGCAGTATTGGGTATGACAATGGGATTGATGTGAAAAATGATGAGCAATAATCTATATGCAACATTTGCATCCACATATCAAGTGTTAATCTATTACCCATAAGTACCAATTCCAATTATATAATACTCTATAAGTTGTTGTGAACCAAAAATAGCTGCAAGTTTCCTTCGACACAATAATCAAATAAATAAATAATTACACATCTAAATTCAAAGCCAATCATATCTTTTCATCCATCACTTCTTTCCCTATGTTCAACACATGAAAATGTCCCTTATTCATTAGATAATATTGACATAACTGTTTGTCATGGTAAAAAGATTCTGAGCATCTATGGGGGTTGCCATCTTAGATTTGCTGCTTGTTTCAGAAGTCTATATATTTCTTTTTAATTTTCAAACACTCAGACAAAACTGATAATTCATTTTTTATTTTCAAGGAAATGTCTTGCTTGAAACAATTTCTCTTATTAGATTTAATCTTTTAGTAAGAGAGAAGTTATATCAAAGAATCGGTAGTTTTGCCTTTGGAGATACTTTTTGCACAAATTTTTTAAATTTAGGGGAGATAATTATATAAAATACAGCAGTTCAGCAAATTTTACCCTGTAAAGTATTAATTAGCAAAAAAAGAAAACGTGTACCCCACTATTATTTTTATTTCATGATAGCAACTGGTCTTAATAATGTCCTCCTTAAATAATGTAATTTTTTATTGACAAATTTTTTTTTCAATTGCAGAATAATGTTTTTCCTATATAATTCATTTAAAACCAAATCTATAGTTTTGGTACTTAATATTCAAATTTATTTCCAGTTAACTCACTTTCAGGAAAATTCACGAAATCTTTCTAATGAATTTGTATGTCTTTCTATCTTTAAATAAGTAATTCTAAATCCCTATTTCAAGAGAAATTCTAACCACAGAATATCACTGTTAATCAAATTTTTGGTAATGTTGATTGCAAAAAATAAATGTGGAAAAGGGATCATCTGACGAAATATTAACAATTTATCTTTAAATTATGACTTGTCTCTCAAAAGTTGTAATTCAGTCATTTAAATACAGGTAACATTTAATGTTATCATAGATAATAATTGCATCATGAGGAAAATGTCACAAATACTGAATGTCTGAAAATTTCAAGCCCTTAAGACTTTTAATACTCAATTTAAAATTCTTAATAGATGTAACAAATTTGTAGTAAAATTAGAACTGTCATAAGACATCAATAGAAAGGATAGGTTGAGAATAAAAGTATTTCTTGTCTACAAACTCTTAGGTTTTTCTAGACCATTTAATTTTGCTGAATTGCTTAAAAAAATTATAGTGTGAAAGTGAAAGGGAGACTACTCAAACTACTTATAGAGAAGTGTTTACTTATTTTAACCAGCTAGATAATGTATATGTTATTTAAGCATTATATTACGTACCAATGTTAAAGACCACTTACATGTATCACAGCATTTAGTGTATAACTAGTGTAATATTTTTCAAATTTTTTTTCTAACATTAGACAAAATCTTTCCAAACAGTTCTACATATAAACCATGAATTTAGAGGTTATGGTCTTTACAACTAAAATCATACATAAGTCAACCAATTTTCTTCTAACAAGTCAGTTAGATTTGAATTTTTGTTGAACTTTTCAAACCATATTTATGTAATAAATAGGTAAAGCAGAATGCTTATGGTAACATTTCCATTATAGATTGACAACAAAAAAAAATACCACCTAAGAAAATGAGTTTTAATAGTTTCTTAAATTTGAACATTTGCAAAAAGTTTTTTTTCACACATGTACTGTTTTCACTGCAAAAGGGTTATTTAAAAGTTGTATAGCTTTCATAAAACAACACTGTCATTTTTGTTTTGTATGGCTGAAACATGTCATTGTTTTTAATCAACACCTCCAACTGTTAGACACTGCACTAAGACCTCTACCACACTTTTGATAATTATTTAACACAGAAAATTTTAGGGAAAGAATGTTTACTTACCTTTAAGCCACCACCCATAACAATATCAGCAGTAGTAATGGGAGGGGTGGGGCTTTGGGGTAGAGCCTCATCATCACTTGAGTGTAGAGAATAACGCTTTTTTAATTTACTGGCTAGCTCACTCTGAAAATTGAAGGGTTATACATTCATTCCTCAACATGCACATGCCCAGCTGTTAAACAATTCATTTTCTTTTGTAGTTCACATCAACAAATCCTTTGTAAAAAGATATCAGACAAATTTATCCAAAGAGTTTTTATTTTATCTTACACTTTTAAACTTATAACATAAAGATTACATTTCTCTCTGAAAAGTTGGAACTTCAAGCAATTTGTCTATGAAGAATGGAGAAGTATCGGTAAATGGGGAGCTCATTGTTGAAGGCTGTTTGGTGACCTATAGTTGTTAATTTCTGTGTCATTTGGTCTATTGTGGACAGTTGTCTCATTGGCAATCATACCACATCTTCTTTTTATATAAACAGTCATTCTGGTTATATGTAAAAGGATCTCACTGCCAATTTAACCTTCAATAAGACATCAATGAAATTACTTTTCCACCAGTGTTCCACAGATAGTGCTTGTTAACATTCATCACTCATAAAAGATATTTTACAACATTTGTGTGTTTTGGGATTATTTTTAACAAACAAGTAGACCAAAGGTTCAAATTCAACATGAAATATAAAAAATCATAATGTTATTAGGAGTGAAATGACAAGCCCTTCAACTATAGAATGTGAACTTCAAAAGACAAATGAACTGCTTTCCAATATATATGTGATTATATGCTTAAATAAACCAGTATACTGAGTAAAATAGATAGAACCAATATAAATGATACATTTGTCAAATCAATTAATTTTGAAATTATATTAAATCAGTTTACATTATTTAATCTATATAAAACAAAGAATTAATAAAGGATTCTAATATGACTTTCTTCAATTGACGTTACAATTGAAATTGCAATATCAGTTGTATTTTAAAGAATGCCAGAGATCAAAATGAATGTTTGTGTTGGTGTTGCTCGCTAGGAAATTTAATAAAATCATTCTAAAAGTAAGTCCACATGTATCTGTTAATTTTTTATTGTGAAACTGTTGAATTTCTATAACGTTTCAACTTCATCAAATCAAATTGGCTTCCTTTCGAACATGTATTATAGGTCCGCTTCGCAGTAAAAAAGTTATAAATTTTCCTATTAGAATCGAAACATTTCTATCATGCCATGACCAATTTAACATGCGTAGGCATTATATTTGTCAACATTTTACAACATCACTAACGCCTGGTATAAAGATATTGACAAATATAATGCCTACCCGTGTTAAAATGAGCATAGAGCATGGCATGAAAGAATTATTTCTTAAATATATTATTTCAAATATGGAAACATTGGCTGCAATTCCTGGGAAAATCAGGAATACTGTGACTTTCTATCTTGTGTATCTGTGTGGAGTTATAAACATGACAATAGGAGACTTGGGGTATACTTTAGTGAGACAACAACCCAGCAACTCTTAATTGGCCCAAGTTTAGGAAAGTTGTTTAATTTAAAATAAAGACTTTCAAATATCTGCCATCAACACTAAATTCCATAAAGGAAAATAAAACTAATGACAACCTCTGGCAAGGTTTTGTTGATTTAATTTCTGTTTATTAAATATATTTTTAGTAAACATTTTTTACATATATATTTTGAACCTATATTTTCTATATATTCTGTAAACTAAGTAGCAAAATGAGATTTGACCACTGTATTTTTTTATATCCATAATGATTTTGAACCACAGAGATCGCTAAGTTAAGATAAGCATAGTTAGTAATGCCATTCCAATGTATTTTTAATGAAAGGAAAATAATCAGCTTATTAATATACCCAACATCACAACATAGATCTTGCATTTGGAAAGTCATATATAAATCCACACCTTTAAGCATTTTGTGTTAATATTCTTTTAATTACTGTTACAAACCACCATATTACTGGAGTAATATATATTATTATATCCAATGGTAAACAACAGCCAGTAGAGCTTGGGATCAACTATATACAGGTACATAAAATATCTTATTAGGTTGGAACTTTGTGTATCAAAGATTAAAAGAGATTCAACATGTAATTTATTTCATATCATATGAATGAATATGATACACAAAAGTCATGCATTTATAATTTTTTTATATTTTGCGTATGACAACTGCATGAAACTGCAAAATTCAGTCTGTTTTAATTTTCAGAGTTAAAAGTTAGAATTAGGAATCCAAATAATTTTTTTATGAGAGAAATTCATCTAATAAGATATTTCTTCATATATGATTTATGATTATGTCTGGTTTCATATAAACCATTTCTTTGGTACTAACCTGAAAATCTTTATTAAGTGATTCCATTGAAATAGCCGTCTGTCTAATGGCATTCATCTTTGGTTCTTTGACCTCTGGTATAAAGACACTGTCCTCTGACATACTTCTACTGCCTCCCATTCTTGATCTCTTCCGAAACCTTTGAAGTTAGAAGTAAATGGTTAAAAGTAGAGTTATCTTCCCTTTACAATTTCTCAATATTCATGTACAAAATATAAATCATTTTATTCCCATATAAAAATGGAAAGATATGGGAGAATGTGTAAAGGCTTTCAACTCATTTTTCATCAAAATAAAAGACAATTTTAGGGATAAATTCACTTACTGGTATTTAGGGAGGAATTTTGAAGGGCTTAATTATGAATTTTTCCCACAAATTTAGGATTAAAATTCACTGATTTGAATTACAATTAAATCAACACTAAATTCATAAAACCTCATTTTATAGGATATATCAAATTAAAACATCTACTATTTTCATTAAAGAAGGCATGATTTCTTTATGTACTTTGAGCTTGCCTACAGTAACTGTGATTATTCTTTGAGCGCATTTGTTTCTAACCTAAATGATGTAAACGATTACGCGCGTAGTCGTTTAATCCATTTGTTTCTGTCAGTTTTTGGTCAACATTGACATCCTTCACATAAACGATGTACGCGCAAAATAGTCGCGTAGTCGTTGATCATTTATCTTTGAGACGTGTAAACGATACATGTGTTTCTGCATCTGTCGTTTAAATAATAACGAGCACATGTTGTTTACGCAGAGTTCTGGTCATTCATTTCCTGCATTTTTACCTGTTTGTTTACAGTGTGTGTATGTAATCTTTTTATGTCTTACTATGCGGGATCGATAAAGTACTTTAAACGATGTATTTGTTTCTAGCAGCTTAACGTTTACTAAACGATAGTCATCGATGACAAAATTTCGGGTTAGAAAAAAATGCACTCTTTGATATGTCATTTTATTGTTTTACTTATAGCTGTGTTTCTATCTTTTATTCCTGTATAAAGTATTCCCTACCCTCCATCATCATCACTTTCATCCTGTTGTGTTATTGCCTGTAATGATCGAGACTTTATAGCTACAGCACTTTCTGATTTAATACCCTTCTTGCTTCCTCCTTTGAAGAATTTCTTCATAGCTACAAATGGACGGAATTTCTTCTTTTTTCCATCCCTTGGATCTGAAATATGAAATTTATTAATATTGGATAGATAAATAGATGTTTCATGACCAACAGTAGAACTAGAACATGTTAATGTGATAAGAATACAATAAACAGACAAGGTAGACATGAAATGCTTACCAGAAGCTTTATTCTGACTCAAAACTGTAAATTATTTGCCATTAATCCTAGAGGCATTGTGTTAAGCAATAGAAGTAGCCAATACTCATTTTAAAATAGCGGCAGGGAATCAAACCAATGAACTCCCACACTTGAGGCAACATGCTACCATAAGATCACCCAGGTGGTAATATCATAATCTATACATGTTTGATTTCTTGATATAAGGGAGATAATACAATTTGAAAACTTTTTTAAAAGCTTATACATATTATATATGGCCTCAGACCACAATTATTCTTCCCATTGCTTACAATGCATTTCCTTGTAAAAGTCAAATTGAATTAAAAAATTTGCACCGCATCAAACATGAAATAAATTTGACTGCTTATAGACCATTATTATTCTAATAAAATATACCTGTCCCAGGACAATCCATCAGTGCTTTTTCTTTTGAGAGCCATATTAACAGGCCAATGGTAGGATTTGAATCTTGAATAAATGCTGAGGGCTAATTTCTACCCTACTTTCATTTTGGCCAAATCACTACTTTCACTTTCAACAATAAATTTTTCCCACATGTTTTACTTATTTCAATATATATGTAACTGATAGGATCACTTAAATAGTAAACATTTCAAAGAAAACAGTAGTCAGAATACTCAGGAAGAAATACCCCATATAATAATTGGGAACTATATTCCTAGACCATGAACAGAGGGAATTAATTGTGGTCTGAAGCCATATTATATCATATGCATATAATAGTACTAAAATAGATAAAATGTGTACTTCAAATTACTATCAAATTAATCCAAATCATGATAAAAGTAAGTTTATTCAGGTTGAAGTCATATTATTTGTCTATGGATTTCATTTTGAAATTTCAATTACATTTTGGCTTATTCATAAAAAAATATTTCCAAAATGTTATATTTGTGGCTATTTGTGACTAAATGGACTATAATTGTCTTACTATCCACAGGAAAGATTCTTCAGCTAGTAGATAGTGACTAAATTTGAGTTCATAGGTAGTAACTATTAGCAAGAATTCTCTGTGTCATACTTATATATCTCTTGTATTATTTCTTATTTTTGTATTTCTGGTACTTTTAGAGTATACAATCTAGCACCAATTCTGATATGAACATTATCAAAAGTTTATTACTGATGTCAATGATCACATAATTGCTTTACTGATGTCAATGATCACATGATTGCTTTACTGATGTCAATGATCACATGATTGCTTTACTGATGTCAATGATCACATGATTGCTGTTCTTCACAAAGTATTGTACTTATGAGGACTAAGATGTAACTATACTTATTCCAAAAGTTTAACTTTTCAAATTATCAATGGGCAATCACTTTTTCAACTGAGCAAATGATGAAAAAAGCTTGACTAGAGAGAACATATGAATTCAGACCGGACAATTTTTTTGGCTCAATAAAAAAAAAGCCAAATCCTCTTATATGAGCTATGTGATGTTTTAATATGATGTGCAATGTTTTTAAGTGTATCTGTTCTACTATCTTTGATGCTTATCCATTCTTGTTCACTTTGCTATGTCACTTGTCAGTCCTTTTTAGAGTTTTGATGTCAAGTTCTTTAGGCAGTACTCTAGTTTCTTTTTCTTTGTCATTACTTGACCTGAGGCAATAAATAATCAAACAATCTTATCTATAAATTTTGGGGGATTTCTTAGTGTAAAAGGAATATCACTTTTTCACAGACAAAAATGCTCCAAATTCTTTTATTTCTGACATTCAAACATTGTACACAATGTCATAGTATTTACAAATGCATCTTTACACTATCATCAGGCATGCAAGAAACTTCCCACAATATAAAAATAAGAAGATCTGGTATGATTGCCAATTTTAAAACTACCCACCAGAGACCAAATGAATAGATCAAAGCAACTATAGGTCACTGTACGGCCTCAACATTGGGTGAAACCCATGCCGCATCACAAAAATAACTTGACAAAATGAAAACTAATTCCAAAGAAACAACCCACAGCCTGTTTTATGTACTAAACAAGGAACGAAAAAAAAATAAATATTCTAATAAACTTTTACGCAGCTTAAATGGAGACACAAAATGTAATCTTATGGTATAATAATTTATGTCTGACCATAGTGATAGTTTGTTTGTGTTGTGTCAGGGGAGAAAAACATTTGAATATCTTTTTGGAGGTTGTGATATGATATTCAGCCATCACCATCATTCCTTATTTTCTATGTTTGTTTCAAGCTAGTTTTTAGTTGTTTAATTTCCTTTAATGTCCATCTTTCTTCAGGTCAGTATAATTTTATGGAGGTCAGATTTAATGGCTGAGGAGGCAAGAGTGTTTATACACACAATAACCTTGGGGAGGTAACTGAAAAATATTATCATTTATAATTACAAGTCAAGCACAACCTTTTTGAAATATTCACTATGGAATGTTGTTTTATTAGTTGTGTATTTTTGGTTATCTTATTCTTGTAGTGTTTGTTCTATTGACATACATACAACATTCAACATTTAAAAGTATCCCTGGTAAAAGAGTCACTTTGATATTCTTTGCCTCTGTTTGGAAATTTACCTAATAAAATCTGCATCTTTCATTGAGGCAAAAATACTGTCATCAAATGACTTACTAAAATGATAAGACTATTTTTGACAGTTTACGGTTCATTAAATAGTATCTAGTACTGCACTGGTGTGATAAAGGATAGAAACACTTGGTTGATTGATTGTTGGGTTGCTGAATGTCTGAGGGTAAATAGTTCATGTATATTCAGGACATACAATGTACATGTAGATTAAATTTGCTCAAAAAGTATTATCATTGTGAGTTACAATAACTATAGATTTATACAAATCCAGATGATGTCATATCGTTTTTTAAGTATTTACTTTTTAATTTCTATTATTTATTAAAAGACATTCAATATAGAAGTAATTACTTGAAATGAGTAATCAGATGACAGGGCTTGACAAAAAGTTTCTTTGTGTAACATAAGTAATCTGATAAATATCAAAAGATCAATGTTCACATTTTTTATTATTAAATGTACTATTTCGTCTGATGTATGATGAAAACATACATTAAATCTTATAAACTTATATCCAGATGTTACTTAACTCTATCATAATGATGAAAACATCAATATATATATATATATATATATACTGTTAAGTCATTTCATACAATAAAAGCTTGGTGATTGTGAAATATTAACAATCTTTAGAATTTTAAACATCAAGTACGGTACATCTTTTTAGCATAAAAAGTGCCATGAAAATATTTCTTTTTATCACACTGTGCATCTGACCTCAGTGACCTGTGTCACTGGAGTGTGATGGACATCAAATCCTGATGTTTACCAACATAAGTGCATACATGTATACACTGAATCTGACCTGTGTGTCACTGGAGTGTGATGGACATCAAATCCTGATGTTTACCAACATAAGTGCACACATGTATACACTGCATCTGACCTGTGTGTCACTGGAGTGTGATGGACATCAAATCCTGAAATTTACTTATATAAGTGCATACATGTATACACTGAATCTGACCTGTGTGTTAATGGAGTGTGATGGACATCAAATCCTGATGTTTACTTACATAAGTGCATACATGTATACACTGCATCTGACCTATGTGTCACTGGAGTGTGATGGACATCAAATCCTGATGTTTACCAACATAAGTGGTGCATACATGTATACACTGCATCTGACCTGTGTGTCACTGGAGTGCGATGGACATCAAATCCTGATGTTTACCAACATAAGTGCATAAATGTATTTTAAATTCAGACATTTGCATATATACATGTACATGTATATTGCTGATCTCTAGATATTTTCTTTTTGTTTACAAACAATAATATTTTGAAGACCAACAACTGAATCAGTGATATTCAAACATGAATACACATTTTTGTAATTTATAGTTTGAAAACAACATGTATTTGACCATGTCTGTCAAGTGAAAACTTGAATTATCCATGTCAATTGTACAGATGACTTTCAAATTTGCGAATGATACTGGTCAATTGATGACGTCCTTCAAATTTGTGCATTTTCCCATAAATTTCTTATGTCTTAATGCTTGTGTTATAATTACGTCACAGTAAGAACAGATTGTTCAAAGATGCCATGGTATTGACGCTGATTGACCATAAGGTCAACCAGTGTAAATCCTTCATAAAAAACAACTTGAGATTGGTCTAAGGTGTATTGATAATGACAACAAAACAAAAATGTAGTATTATGAGGAATTAACAATGGTCAAGAGAGTATATATATATATCTTCTAAAAACATTTTAGTTGCTGCTAACTATATATAAACGTCATAATTTGCATAAAGCTCTTTAACACAGAAATTCAGGGTAAAAAATAAATACCTTCACCAACAACTCTTGCAGCATCATCACTTGACCCTGGGAGTTGAGTTACTTCCCCTGGGGCAGTTGCCATCCTGTATGTTTGTAATTAGTATCTCGCTTTAAAAAACTCTTTCATCTCTCACTTTAAACATATCAACAACAAACAATTTGTTCTATCAAGTAATCTCCAACATGATCTGAAAAGAAAAAGATGTGCATTTTGACTTCCAGCGATTAAAATGGATATATTATCTAATAAAATAAAATACATCTTTTCTGTTAAAAATCATGTTCAATTTTATGCATAATTACGTATTCACACCAGGTAAAATACCTGTACACACCTCAACTGGTGAATGCATATAAATGCAACTCTCACTGCTTAGTGCAATAAGATAATGTAATCTGACAAAAATAATGCAGCTAAAGCATTTACTATGAAAAGATTATGAATGATAACTGATAAAGAGAAAGTAATAACGGACATGTGGTGAATATACAACGTAAGATGTCTCATATATAAAGGCTTTTATGGTTGTCTTTTGTAAATAGCTACATGTATGCATGTTTAATACAAATGTGTGTTAAGGCTACGATGCAATCACAAGTACAAATGTGTTGTGACAGCTGAAAAAATCAAACTTATTGAAAATAAGGTAAATGTTCAATATGACTGGTGTAATATTTTGTTCAAGCATATTTATTTGTTTAAATATGCATATTCACTTTGTAACATGTGAATTAAAACTTTACTCTCATTTTATTTCTTTTGATCAGAAAGATATAAATGACATTAAATGTATAACAAAACATGTATGAACTAACCTCTTGTTTCTTTAATACCTTATTGGTAGTGAAATAACTATTTTACAAAATTCAATTGATTTTTCATCACAAAATGAATAAAATGCTACGCAGGGCGCAGCTTGATACGACCGCAGAGGTCGAACCCTGAACAGTTGGGGCAAGTATGGACACAACATTCAAGCTTGATACAGCTCTGAATTTGGATTGTGATTAAATATTTGACACAGCATAGGTTTCTGACACAGAATGAATGTGGTCTGAGAACTTAAAAATTTTAAATTGGACATTCACCTATTATGGTCCAATATCCAAAATCTAAATACATGGTTAGATTCAGCATATCAAAGAACCCCAAGAATTCAATTTTTGATGAAATCAAACAAAGTTTAATTTTGGACCCTTTTGATCTCAATGTGGACAAAGTAAATAAAGTTGATAACGGGGCCCAAAAATCAAAAATCTAAATACATGGTTAGATTCAGCATATCAAAGAACCCCATATATTCAATTTTTGTTGAAATCAAACAAAGTTTAATTTTGGACCCCGATTTGGACCAACTTGAAAACTGGGCCCATAATCAAAAATCTAAATACATGTTTAGATTCAGCATATCAAAGAACCCTAAATATTCAATTTTTGTTAAAATCAAACTAAGTTTAATTTTGGACCCTTTGGACGTTTATGTAGACCAATTTGAAAACGGAACCAAAATTTAAGAATCTAAATACACGGTTAGATTGGGCATATCAAAGAACCCCAATAATTCAATTTTTGATGAAATCAAACAAAGTTAAATTTTGGTCCTTTGGACCTCAATGTGGACCAATTTAAAAATGGGGCCCAAAATCCAAAAACTTAATACACGGTTAGATTCAGCATATTAAAGAACCCCAAGAATTCAAGAATAAAACCCCATTGAAATTGATCAAGAAATAAGCAATTTATAGGAAGTATCTTCTTTTGCACAATACTGTGCAATTGAATATTTCTTGCTATTGCGCAATACTGTACAATTGACAATTTCTTGCTATTGCGCAATATTGTGCTATTGGATATTTCTTGCTATTGCGCAATACTGTGCAATTGAAGATTTCTTGCTATTGCGCAATACTGTGCAATTGAAGATTTCTTGCTATTGTGCAATACTGTGCAATTGAAAATTTCTTGCTATTGTACAATACTTATAGAATAACTAATCGAAGAATTCAAATAGAGAAAAATATTCAACGAGTGACCGAACAACACATTAATTCACGAATGCGCGTAGCGCATGAGTTAATTATCAGTGTTGTTCGGTCACTAGTTGAATATTTTTCGATATTTGAATTCTTTGATTAGTTATTCTTTTTATTACATTGGCAAATGGCTTTTTTTAATGAAATTAATGTAGAAAATGTAAGGAACTATATCTTTTTTCTACGAACTCACAATTTGTTTTGATCCGACGTTATCGACGTCTTGACAACGCCTATTGTTGTATGACGTCAGAGGGTGAAATAACCACGTTTATTTCACATGTGAAATTATCGGTTTTTATTTGACTGGGAAATCAATGTAATTCAATGCTACCAATGTAATAATTATTATATAATAATTTACACATCCTGTTTGGTGTGTATCTCCTACCATATCATTATTATTTGCTTTTAAATATAAATAATCAGAAATAACCAACTTAAAATGGAAAATTTTAAAAGAAAAAAAAAGAAAAAAAAAAAATCCCCCCCCAAATTTTTTGAACCCCCTTATGATTCATCACCCCCAAACTCAATCCCAGCCTTTCCATTGTGGTATGGTACCTTGCAGTACAATTTCAGAGAGATCCATACACTTGAACACAAGTTATTGTCTGGAAACTAGAAAAATGCTTATTTTTGGCCCCTTTTTGGCCCCCAATTCCTAAACGTTTCGGCAATTACCCCCAAACTCAATTCCAGCTTTCCCTTTGTGATATGGAACCTTGTAGTACAATTTCAGAAAATATCCAAACACTTACACACAAGTTATTGTCATGAAACTAGAAAAATGCTTGTTTTTTGCCCCTTTTTTTGGCCCTAATTCCTAAAATTTTGAGGCAATTACCCCCAAAATCAATTACAGCCTTCCTTTTGTGATATGGAACCTTGTGGTACAATGTCAGAGAGATCCATACACTTACACACAAGTTATTGTCTGGAAGTTACAAAAATGCTTATTTTTGGCCCCTAATTCCTTAACTGTTGGAACTATAACCCCCAAAATCAATCCCAACCTTCCTTTCGTGGTATTGAACTTTATGGTAAAATTTCATGGAGATCCATTCACTTAAACTAAAGTTAGAGTGCGAAAACCAATGTGTCTTCGGACGACGCCGGACGACGCCAACGTTATACCAATATACGACCAAAAAATTTTCAATTTTTGCGGTCGTATAAAAACACAAGGATCTTGTATCAAAACTCATACACAAACATCTTTAACACATAGAATTGTATATATTTAAATGTCTTCTGTTTTAGGGTCTATTAGGTCCATAGTTTGACCTTAAATCAAACTATTTACTTACTCGAGGAAGTTACTTTGAACCAAATACTCAATACCTTTTATAAATATTTGATTAAGAAATTAACTTTTAAAGAAAAAAAGATATTATCCTTATCATGATCTATTGTGGCCTTTTAAAACGCCAATTAACATGAGAGATACTAAATAAAAGAATTTTCTGACAGACTAAGATTCGTGTCAACAAGTTTATGTATTAACCTTAGTAATACTATTGACACCTCATTGCTTGTAAATTGACCTTGGCCTGAATGTTTTAGTGCTACAGGTACATATTTTTAAATCCGGGTCAGTTTTGTGTATATGAATATAAATAATTAAGAATTACTTTGTAAGAAAATTTAGTATCAAATATGAATTTATTTGTAACCGCCCTCTTTTCAGATATTGAACATAAAAACATCAACAATAATCAGAGGAAATATTTCATGCATATTTGACCATGAAATTTCTGAAGTATGTATTTCTGTACTAACATAAGGAAAAAGAAGAATTCTAGCTTTTTGAAGAACTGTAAAGCTCTGTTGTCAGTTCAACTTGTCACTATCATATATTTTCATGAAGTATTTGTCAAGGTCATTAGTTATCACTTTCAAAATTTTTGGTAAGGAATAAATTTAGGGTAATCATTGCTATATAATTAAGAAACATGGATATCAACATCTATGTTTTATTTGAGTGTTTAATACATGTACAATGAATGATGTAGACTGTTTCTTGAATAACCTCCATCAGGTACCCCCAAAACCAAAAGTTAGGACATAAGGGGAGGGGGGATAATGTGAGCATCAAAAGGCTTGCAAAGTCAGTATTTAGTAAACCGAAAATTTACCAATAAAAAAGTAGAATATTTCAAATGGTCTTTTAGTGAAGCCTCACATTGACCCAAGATTTTTCTTTGACAATGCAAACATAAATGAAAAAAATAACAGTCCCGGAAACATGATTTAAAAACACATCTATTGAATAAAATAATAAAATATTTTATCTGTTAAACTTGCAACTGTTCCAAAAATCTAACTATAATTGATTTTAATAACTTACATTGTAATTCTATTGATACAAAAACAAATCATACATGTGTCTGTACAAGACAAAGAAAGATCTTACTAATTAAGTCAGTGCATGCATGCTAGGTGTTATTACAAAATAGATTATACAACTAGATAACAATAGTTAAAACACGTAAAAATACCTGTTCCATGAATTTTAAAATCCATATTTAAACTTTTTGTGAGAACTCAACCCATATATATGACATTTTTAATTTATAACTAAAACACAATTCATCCATGAACTTAGTAATTATTTCAAAGCCATTTACATCTCACTAGTCCATAGCGAAAATGATAAAATCTAGGGACTGTTACTTAAAGTTACTGAACTATTTATTTGTAATTTCACTTTTATTTCTTAGATAGTCTTTAACTCATAAGGTTGAAATCCATCATGGATTTGTACTTAATTTATAAGTAACCAAGTTAAACTTAAGCTGCAATGTACTGTCATAACTTTACATCTCAGTTTATATTTCCACATGAAACAGCCCAAGTTATTACATGCATTGCATCAATAGGAAAAAAATTCAGAGCATGCAAATTTAGTCCCAGAGGATGCTTTTATTCTAATGATGGTAGTACAATCAAGAAAATATTTTTGATAAAATAAGTTGCTTACATCCACATCGTTTGGGTTCTGGTGAACAAACGTCTCCTAATGGCAGTCATACCACATCTCTTTATTTTTATACAAATCCCATGCCAAGTATGACTTCCTACAAACCTTACTATAGATATTCTCCAACATGTTAACACTCTCATGTATTCTTATTTCTCTTAACCTTCAAAA